GGCTTTTATAACTAAATCTCCATCGACAAGTTTTGAACACCAAGGATTGAAAAAACAGATATCACATGTTTTGAAGTATGAGACAATACAAATTGTTAAATTTGCTGAGGTTCACTTGTATAGAGTGTAGAAGTACTACAGACTGACCATTGAATTTCCATGTACTACTAACAGTAATAGTACTTCAGTTCTCCATATTAATATTGAAAGTTTTAGAACAAGCAGGTCACTGAACTTAACCTACAAACAAACAGAGGATTAGTAGGCTTTACAAACTTTTCCTTTCAGCCCTGGAATCAGTGAAAACTTGAGTAGCAATCCTGAGAAATATAGTAATCCTATACTTAGCTAATGAAGCTAGAAACAAACTAAAACTAGAATAAGAATAATATTATTTAGATTATCTAAGAATAATACAAAAACGTGGACTCAGTATGTTTGAAACAATATACAAAAGAGTTAGATAACAGAAGAAAATAAGCAAGGATACTGGAGAAGCAGCAGTTCATCCAAATAAACCATGGAGTCCTGAAGAAATCAAAAGCTCTAGTGGGGATGTAATGCTTCCATGTTAAACCAGGGCGTGTGGTCTCCATGAATGTGTTAATATCAGATGTAGAGGTATAACTGGCATGTAAATTTTGGTGAATGGTGATTCAGATAAATTCTACAAGAAATTGTCTTTTACAACGATAAAAACCTGTTTGTTCTCGTTGCTCAAAGGTGTTAGCACATTATTAGATGTAACTATAAGAAGAAAATGTATAAAGTAGTTGATGTGGTTACTTTGGTTCACATGTCTAGTGTAAACTGTCAAAAGCTACTAGTGTACATCGCTATATGTTTAAGTTGTATGCTAATGTATATGAAAATATGCATTTGCAATTAAGTGTGTGTGAGGCGTGACAGATTTTGTTTCTTTGTTAAATTTCATGCAAAGCTATTTGAGGTCTATCTGCTCTAGTCATCCATAATTTAGAAGTGAGAGACTACATGGAAAGCAGTTAGTCAACACTACCCATGGTCAACTCATGGGCTGCTCTTTACAAGCAACAAGTGGGATTGATCATCACATTATAACATCATCCATGGTTGAAAGGGTGAACATGTTCAGTGACGGGATTCGAATCCATGACCTGCAGACTAGAACTCCAACACCCATAACCACCAGGTGATGCGATGCCCGTTGTATATATATGAAACTTTACACAAATTCAGAGTATAATAGTTTATTTAGGATGTTGCTATGGTGTTAACTTACCCGATAGGCATTATTTAAAGAAACAGCAAGAGTGCTGGTTTCATTAATGTGAGAAAATTCAGTTTTATGTTGAAAGTTCTGCTGGTGTTGAATTTTTCTGGAGGAAATGAGAGTAACATAATGTGTTGTTACACCTGCACATAAACACAGTTTATACAGTGTTTCATAAGTTTGGTGGGTTGTGTTTCAGTCATGCAGACTGAAATGCAAGTGGCAACGTGAAATCATTCGTGAAAATTGAAATACATATATTGTATGTCTGGGGATGATGAATTTATACTTAGGGGAACCGATGTTTTAATTGTTATGCAGAAATATTCTGGTCATCAGATTGAAATATTTAAGAACTCAGTTTTCCAGACCTATTCTTAGCATAAATCCGTACAAGAAGGGATCTTTATTGGACTGTGATTGCCTGTGTTTATTCTGTGCTCTACAAGGTTTGTGCTGCCGAAGTCATGATCTCCTTTCGAAAAGTCGTCTGCATAATTTGCCAAAAGTTCTTTTACCTGAAGAGCCTGTGATGATGCCAGATGGACTATGCTCTTCTTATAGAGGTCAGTTAAATGTTCTGGAAGTGTATGTCCTTTTTTTATAGTTGTATTTCTTGCTTTAACATTGACTGGCTGTACCTCCTGGCACACACCGAACAATGCCACTTCCTTAAGTGTCTGCTCACATTTAGAGAAATTGGTCACTGTTATAGGTACTACTTGATGACCTGTCACAACTGACCTTCCAATCTTCAAATCCGCTGGCCTGGAAGGGTCTTCCACTGCTTCCACAAGCATTGGGCTTCCTTGAGGATGTTCTTTTATCCTACCCCAAATTATCTTCTCTGACATGTGGGGTATTGAAGTTGACTTAAGTGCTGTGATATGCAAATCAACGGATGCAACAACACTTACTGGAATCTGGCCTTTGTTGTTTCCAAACGTCATTTTATCGAAATTAACTACACCTTCCTCGGTAGTAAATAGTCCAATCCTAATATGCACTGGTCTTCAATGTCAGCCAAGTATACTTTCTGTCTATTCTTTATGCCCATGAGCTCAATAGTTACCCACACTGGTCCCCACAACCTTGCATAATGTCCTGTCACACCACTGAGCTTCTGTATGGCTTCTGGTACTCCTTTGTGATCCAGCATCTTGATACTCACAAGGGTTTGTTGAGATGCAGGATCTGTTACAAAGTCGCACTTTTGGCCATCCAGCTTTCCTGTCACGTAGACACTATGTGTGCTTGGCATTTTACACCTAGCTTGACTTCCGCTGTCGTAACAGTACTAATGGTAATTCACTAAATAATATAGACTCATGACATGCAAAAAGTAGAGAAATTCGCTTACCTCTCAAACTTTTTCTGGCTTTCTAATTATTCAATAAGATGGAAAGTTGCTCGAGACTTTTCACCAGGTTTTGTTAGTGTCACCTCTCTATCTTGATTCATGTGACAACCCATAACAGAAAATTGTATTTTCAACAGTGGAATTAAGTTGCTCGTGACATCACATTGTTAAGTATTAGAATTTCGAATAGTCCGAAGTCGAGTTAACTGATAATTTAAATTCAGTAGTTAAATTGTACTTTGGATTTAGTATTGAAATGTATGCCGATATATTAGTCAATTAACGATATTTGCCAACAAGATTGATATACACCGTTTTCGTTTTTAACACAAATATGTTTTAATATACACTGAGTGGTCACAAGTAAATAGAA